TTATTATTTATATTTATATAATTATATAAAATTTCGAGCTTTTTATTTTTAAGAAATTATAAATTAAAAAATAAGAATTAAAAAAATAGATGTCATAAACGTTAAAAAAGTATTAAAATTGAAATAAGAAAGATTGAAAAAATTGCTTAAAAATAAAATCTATCTAAATATTTGAACATCTCGAAGCAAAATTTATATAACATTCTAGTGCTGCTAACTTTTGATGACTTATTTGTATTAATTCTTTTGCTAATAATGCGTATATACCTCGGAAATTCTCATATAGATGCCACGATTGTTCTGACCGATATCAAAATAGAAATTCTTGCTATCCACGCGCATATAACGACCCTCCGGTAAGTCACCTTTGAAGCCACCGTCATCTGTCCCAAATTCCTCAAGAAGATCCGTTAATGCATCACGAAACTCTATCATGCCTTGTGCTGGTATTGCAATCTGAGTCCTAGGTCCACCCCGTGTTATCGTTTGTGACACCTGGACAAAAAAACAAATATTATATAAGATGTTCTGTTCCCATTGTTGTGTCATTTGAATTTATGAAGCGAAAATATATCAGATAACCTTTCTTTATCAATATTCCTGGAAAATCTCATTTGTCATCTTTTTTGAAAAACGCAGACCTTTTGAGATGAAAGTCGACAGAAATCTTCTTATGACTTAGTGTAGAAAGTAAGTACATTGGCTGGTACATACAGGGTGACTCACCCGCAGGAAACGGCCGCGAGAATTTTCCTTGAGGTCCAAGTAATATCGTCTATTATCCTTCACCATCATTTCAGATTTAAGTTTTCCATCGTCTGGCACATTTTCCGGATTTGGTGGACCTGATTATCCGGAAGAAGGGAAGAGGGATGCAAAGATGTTAATAAATCAGTTTTTTCAATAGAACATAAAAACTCAATAATTTATGACAGTTATCGCAAATAATAAAAAAATTATTTATTATATTTATTATAATATTTATATTATAAAATTTTGATATTTCATCAACAAATACCAAATTAAAATTTTAATATTTTATATATTTAAAGTGTAATATTTGTATAGTCAAAAGGGAATGATTCTTCACGTAAAAATCAATAAAAATAAATTAAATAAGCACAGATAAAAATTTGAGAATAAATGAAATTTGAGAATAAATGAAATTTGAGAATAAATGAGAGATAAGTGTCAGATAAGAGTCATATTAATAATGTGCAATACAATATTTTGTTGCGATCATCTTTTCTTGCCCAGCAAACATGCCATTTATTTGTTAATCTTGAAATGTAGTAGTTACAAACCAAAATTACGGTTATAATACTACAATTATTAATTGATAATAAATTTTAAAACATTATTGATATTAATAAACATCTTAAAAAATATCGTTAAGGCTTGAATTGATAAAGAGAGAATCCCCCATTATAGAGAGAGAAAGGTAGAGTCCTAGGTACAAGTCCAGATTTTAATTTTGACAAAGATAATTTTTTCACAACAAATTATTTACAGATTTTTAATATTACTTATCAGTATTATATTAAATTAAAATTTGTGATATTATAATTTCAGCTCTAATCTGTGACTATATTTCAAAACCGATAAATAATTAACGCGTAGTTTGCTGCTAGAAAAATTTATCGTAAAAAAATAGAAAATGTTACATTGCATCACACTATTAACAATGCTAATTCTTATTAGCATTTATCTCTCACTTATTGTTTCAATAAAAAGATATACAATAGATTTTTTCATATAAAGTTTTGTTTTCAAGATCAATTTTGAAAATTTGTTGAATATATATACAATTAAATATTGATGGACATTTATTTCATAATTCTAATTCGTTATTTCTATACGCATTAATATGTACAAACATCGATAGTGATGATTTATTTTTTATTTACTCATTTCTCTTAGTCTTTATTAAATAATCACAATCATATGATGCAGTGATACCCATCACAAAAAATTGAAATAGCTCCTATGTAAAAATTAGATGTTTTTATGTGCTAATTTAGCAATTATTAGCAATAAATTACAATTAAAAGTGGGAACAGAGGCTAGTTTAAAATATATAAAATTAGCATCTTAATTTATTAAAATAACATATATAATTAAACAGTAATATAGTAAAATTGTACTTTTTATATGCTTTCAAAAACATTTAATTATTGTATCTATAATTATATAGAAGAATTATATAGAATTATCGTATCTAATTATTGCATCTAATTATACAGAAGATACACGTAAAAAAAATCAATATATTAGAAGTAAAGTACCAATTAAAATAACGAACCGCTTCTTAAATTCTAAGATTAAAATGTTTGTTGATTTATGTTTTTAGAAAATGCACAATAAATTTTGCTCATCTCTTTTAATCACAAGCTTACTGTTTATATATATATATATATATATATATTACTAAGAATAAAGTACTAAATGAAATATAGTAAGAAATTGTTGCTAAACTTGAAATGTGCATTAACTTAGGTACTTTTGAGATATGCACAATAAATAATTTTGATATGCATCTCTTTTGGTTTATATATATAGGATACTCTTTTTCATCAAAACTATTTTCATCTTTTGTAGTAATAGTGTTAATTTCATAAAGATACATATGTTATGTCTATTGTAAATAGCTAGTACCAAAAATAATTTGTTAATTGTTATCATTCTGACCAACAGAGATTATATAAAGGATAGAATAAATAATGAAATAAAGGTAAGATAAATTAGGTAAATTTAATTTTTTTGTAATATAAAAATATAAAAATCATGATTATTCTCGATAATTATATAGCATTATTTAAAAATAGTCCCAAAATAAAAATAAATACTCTCGAATTAGTACTTGAAATGTTAGTTTCAGATGTAATGTTTCGCAACATAGACTGCAATTTTTGTAAAACTGATGTAATAACATCGCGTAAACAAATTAATTATTATTATAAAAGACTAACATTAGAGAAACTAATTAATTATTTTAATTTCATCTCTAATTTTATAATTCTATATAGATAATTCTAATCATTAAAATACAAAAATGCTCCAGGACAAACTGAGACATCAGATTTACGCGATATTCTGCTCTGTCTCATATAAGTTTTCTTAATATAAATTGCCAAATTTCAACAAGTTGATAGTTCTATGTGAGTTTTTAAAGTTCTGGCAATATACACATATTCTGGCAATATACATTATTTTTTTCATTTTTTAAATAGTTTGTGCCGTCTAAGGCAGGGTTATGCCCAAGAAAGATCTACCTACGTACATACGTACATAAGACGCTATAATCGATTTGCTAATCGAGAGTTTTATTTATCATAGAATATTTATCGTACAGGTCTAAATGTATTTAAACTGTTCTTCTAAAGGATTTTAATAAACATTAAAATTTTGATAATAAACATTTAAATTATTTAAATAATTTTTTTTTAATCATTTTTATCGCT